ATTATAGAGTTACACTACATATCTCACATGTTCCACAAGCCAAAGTTTAATTCTGAAACTTGGTTGCGTCACAGTGTTTCTACGGAGAGACACGGCTGAGTGTGGAACGGGCGATGCGCCACATCACGTTACTGCAAAAGTGTCTAGACTCCAGCAAATTCTTGAATGTGATTGGTTGGTTTAATTTAGATCAATTTTTTTGCAGCGTTAGTGATTGGCTGATCAAAAGGCTTAGATTATTATCGATATATAGTCCTTCGGACTTCTAATAGTTTCCATTATCCTAATGTTAGCTAAAATTTATTTCTAATGAGCCTTGTTGCCTAATTTTGTAAAATTCGAAGAATAACTAATACGAATAAGCCTATTAATAAGCGGTTTATCTTTATCGTCTCTTTGCTTATCGCCAGCGTTGGCATTGGACATATGTCCAATGAATTTGAAAAAGGTTGGACATATAAAATTTTATATGTTTAATCATTTTCAAAGTTATTGGACATATGTACAATGCCAGCACTGCTTATCACTCTTTTTCGGTTTAGTTGGACATGCCTAGTGATGGGTAAATTAGCCTTTTTTCGAATTTCATGCGCACAGAATTCTGGCTTGCATTATAGTAGCTTGCTGCTAATGCAGCCAGAATTATGAGATTCCGAAAATTCCGAAATATTCCCATGCGCACATGCACATGTAGGGATAGGAATCGATTTAGTCGACTAAAAAATTTGTATGTAAATTACTATGTTTAGCCGTTTTAGTCGACTAAATCATATAGCCGATTCCTATCCCTATGCACATGAGCACATCATATGAAAAATTTGCAGATCATTTTTCTGATCCAGTGAATTCCACGATTATTATAGGTACGTAGCTACCTTTTAGTTGCCGTATTCATTTAACAATTAGTGATTATTTCTTATTTACTAATAGATTTTCTTTTTACGGGCTCCCTTTACTAACGATATATCATAATTGCACAAATAAAATCAGGAAAAAGTTTATTTTCTCGACAACTATCACTATCCATTTAAATTCAATGAATTTTTTTTATTTTAATCCTTAGAATTGAAATAAAAAAATAAAAGTTTATCGAATTTGGATAGGTAATTGTTAAGAAATATTGATCAAAAATTAAAAAAGATTTAGCCGCAGTTTCTTTTTTACGGACGCCCAATCTTTGACGAAGATTACTCAACATTTACCTGACCAAATTCTACCAAGATTTTTTTTATTTTAATTCTATATAACAATAAAATTAAAATAAAACAATTTTGATTGAATTTGGTCAGTGAGTGCTAAGTAATCTTCGTTCAAAGTTTGGGCGTCCGTAAAAAAGAAAATGCGGCTAAATCTTTTTTAACCTTTGATCATTATTTCTCAACAATTACCTAGCTGATAAAAAATTTTCATTGAACTTGAATGGATCGTTGTTAAGAAATCATCATTTAAAGTTTTTAATTTAGCCGCAGTTTCTTTTTCAAAGATGCCCAAACTTTAACTCGGCACTCACCGGACCAAAATCGATCAAAATTGTTTTATTTTAATTCTATAGTTAGATAGAATTAAAAGAAAAAAACTTGATCGGATTTGGTCAGGTGAGTGCTGAGTAATCTCGTTCAAAGTTCGGGCGTCTGTAAAAAAGAAACTGCGGCTAAATCTTTTTAAATTTTGATCAATATTTCTCACCAACTAACTATCCAAATTCGATAAACTTTTTTTTTATTTCAATTCTATAATCTCTTAGGATTAAAATAAAAAATTCATTGAATTTAAATGGATAGTTGTCGAGAAAATAAAAATTTTGCCTGATTTACTTATGTATTCATGATTTATAGCTAATAAAAGAAGCCGTACAAAGAAAATCCATTAGTAAAATAAGAAATAATCACTAATTGTTAAATGAATTCCACAGATTACGACGAATAAAAGGTAGCTACCTATAATATAATCGTGGAATTCATGGGATTCAGAAAAATGATTAGCAAAATTGGCATATCCAACAAAATCGAAAAGAGCGATAATTTATTGAAGTTGAAAAATTTTTATTTAAAACAAATTATTAATTACATTTAAATCAATAATTTGTGTTCAAGATCATTTGAATCTGGTTTTCACTTCGCACCCCTCAGACCGGCCAATTACAATCTCTAATATACATCTATGCATCTAACTTAAAATATTCTCTAGTAGAATTTTTTAAAATATGTATGTAAGAAATTTCTTTATCAGAATGTGATTTTTCGGATTTAATGATAATTGGCGGTACAAGAGTATATGAGTTAATTTCTTTCGATTGAATAATGTTAACTAGTTCTACATCAAGTGGTTTATGTGATGATTTTGTTGAGTTGCCAAGTTTTTCTAATAACTTAAGAGCACCAGCATATGAGACAGCATAGGCAAATGTGCAATATGGCTTCTCAGATTTAAATAATTTATAATCAGATGAATTATTATCACTGCCTGGTAAAGGTTCACCAGATTGACCTTCAGAATTATTACAATGACCAAGATATATAATGTCCCAATCAGCAGGTAAAATTCGATGTATATCGACCATAATTGATGTGATTCTAAGTTCAAT